AGGAATCTCACTTTCTCTTTTGAACATTTTTTTACCCCAACATGGTGTAATTTATGATTTTTATCATCTTTGTGGCTCATGGGGTAAAACTTGGATAATCTATAAAGGAGATCTCAAATTCAAACATTAGAAGTTTCTATCAAAAGTGTCCAAAAGTGGCTAATGCAACATCTTTTGCAAATGCAAGACAAACCGTTTCCATATATTCACCAAAATGTTGAACCATCTCCCAAAAATGAGAAAACCCACCTTAAACGACAATACCTTTTTAAAAAAAAAAATCTATTATGTATTTATTTATTTATTTATTCATTTATTATTTATATGAATACTAAAACAAATGGGACTCACAAGTCACAACCCCACTCGTATCCCCTTCATTGTCCCACCCAGCCCCCCTTCGCATTCTAACCTCATATTTCTATAACTTTAGAGGTGAGTATTAAAATAAATGAAAGCCATATATATCTTAGTTTTCTCATTGAATAAGATTAGTCTGGTGCTTTCCCCCTTACTTTTGATTTTCACATATAATCATTGATTTCTTCATCGTTTCTTGCACAGTTGTCTTTTCTATTTTCATATATAGATTCTCAAGCTGAGATGATAGAAGTATATAATCTTCATGTAAACTTTCACGTAAATTGTATACTGATCTCAACTAAATGATGAGCAACTTTGGTTGTTATAGGTAGGTCGTTTTCTCTCAGTAGCTTGTGTAACCAACCACTTGTATTCAATAAACAACAATAGTATTGACTTTTTCACCTCTTTGTAACCTTATATTAAATTTTAAACATGAATGAGATGGAAATGACCACTATTAATATAAAAAATCTCAAGTCCTACTCTAATGTGTTTCATAGCAATATTGATCAAAATTAGCATTTAAATGAAGCGAGTGGAGGTCGGTGTGGGTGGTAGAGGCGTAGAGCCTATCTAAGTAAAATAGTAAATATTAATATAAATAGAAAATACAAAAGGGATTGGAATAAACTTGAAAGTTTTTATATAGAACCCAGACCATTCTAATAATTTAATTTGTAAAAGACCATAATATATTTATACGTTAATGTTATAAAACGGGAACAAACTATTTTTTTTTTCACAAATGTAATATTATTTGATGTTATTTTATGACAACACAAATAGTTCTTTACTTATCTATAGTACTTATAATACATGTTGTTTATATATAAAAAAATAACAATTAGTTCATTGTTCATTTATGTGTGTGTGCGCGTTCTTTAATATTTTCCTATGCTTTGGGATGGGTAAAAAGTGCCCGTAGATGAAGACGGAGATGACCGACAATAAAAAGGATGAATGAGATGAGAGGAAATACATTTAGGAGGGAATCATGTTTGGAACTTTCTTAAAAAGATAGTGCAACGACTTATTCAGTTAAGAATAGAAAAGACTAACGACTTATTTGCGAAAAGGTGTATACTAACATCATTACAAGAGTTAATTTTGTAAACTAACAAGTGAAAGACATATAACGGTTATGGTTTCGTATTATTATAAAAAAGAAGTACAAATACAATGACAAAGAAAAACGTAATATATAGACTAGTTAATTATGATTTCATAGCTAAAAGACCCAATCATAAAACCCAATACATGATAAAAACCTAAAATCTTATCAGGCTAACATCTCCCATCAAACTCACAATGCAACAACAATAAACATTAAGAGCTTGTCAGACATAAAATAAAATTGAGGAGCAGTCAACGACTTCGTAAGAATGTGGTAAAAAAAAAAAGAATATCAACAATCTGCAAAGATGAAGGAACATAAGGAAGGAAGGAACATAAGGAAAGGAGATAGTCCCCTTCTGGAGATGATGACGTGTGAAATGACAACCAATCTCAATATGCTTTGTGCGCTCATGAAACACTGAATTATTGGCAATCATTATCGCACTCTCGTTATCACAATACAAAGGGTAGGCTGAGAGATATGAACGCCCATATCTGCAAGAAGTCATCTCAACCAAACAATCTCACAAGTGGCGATAGCAATGGCTCGGTACTCAGATTCTGTAGAAAATCGAGAAACAACATCTTATTTCTTGCTTTTCCATGATATCAATGAATCTCCAAGAAAAACACAATACCTAGTAGTAGACTTACGATCACAAATATCACTATCCCAATTTGCATCACTATAGGCACACAACTCAAGAGATGATGTAGATGGAAACATAAGAGTGTGGTACTGAGTACCACATAAATATCTCAAATACGAAGAACAACTCCCCAATGAACAGTAGTAGGAACAGTGACAAACTGGCTAATTACCACATGAACTGCATGAGCAATATCCGGTCTAGTGACGGTTAGGTAAACCAAACTCCTAACAATGGTACGATAAAGGCTTGGACCTGATAATGGGACACCATCAGTTGGAGAGTACTTTACATTACTCTCTATAGGCGTATCAACTATTCGATTATTCGTGAGTCGTGCACGTTCAAACAAATTTGAAATATACTTCGTTTGAGATAAAAGATAACCCTTTGGAGATTGAGCAACTTCAATCCCTAAGAAATAACGTAGCAAACCCAAGTCGTTCATAGCAAAACGGTGAGCCAAATCACGCACATAGTATTGCCTCGCAAGAAACTTTTCATAACATAACTCTAATAGGCATAGTTTTTTTCCATCAAGTTGAATACTAATGGACTGAAGAGAGAATCATCTCTGGACCGTATTTCAATATCAGTCAAATAGTAAATACAAGTAGCAGCATAAACAATCAAGATCTCGAAATCAACAAAGCCAACAGACGAAATGAAACCCTCAAAACCGACAAAACGAACAAATCAAATCAAACTGAATACAGAAATGAGCAAGAAAACCATACTCAAATTTGCAAACAATGCACGTGAACAGTGTAATGAACAATATTCGGTGAATAATATATATGAATAGTGCTCGAGGAACAATGTCGATGAATAGTAACTCCCCCCCCCTCCCCCCCCCCCCCCCCCCCCCCAAAACGAAAAGTACAAATAATCAATCGAGCTCTGATACCATGTAAACTAACAAGTGAACGACATATAATGGTTAGGGTTTCGTATTCTTATCAAATAAAAGTACGAATACAATGAAATACAAAGACATAATATATATACTAGCTAAAAAACCAAATCATAAAACCCAATACAAGAGAAAATCCAAAATCTTATTAGGCCAACAAATTTGACATGTCATAAAAATTGACATAAAAAACCATTGTATGGTAAAAAAAAGTTGGCAAATTATACATGTATTGCATATATTTCAACAATTCGTATATTAAGAGAAAGAAGACGAGCAAACACTAAAAACACATGCATGAGCATGTGGATTCCGGTTGTAAATCTTACACTTTTTTGGTATAGAAGTGAACGCTACGCACTAGGTATTGCGTATCAACCAAGAAATACTTCAACATAAAGAAATATATGATATTATAAATACGATTAAGAGTTATGGAAATGATAATTTAAAATATATATTAAACCTTGGGTCTTGAGTGTTATTTTTTAATATTTTATTCAAAGGAACTTCTGTAAAAACCATTATATTTTGGTATATTTTGGTTTAATCACTAAAATATTCATTTTTCCAAATTAACCACAAAGAATTGTTTTATGTTTTATAAAAAATCGTTACATAAAATATTGGATTTCATAAACATTTAACGTATGAAAATAAGGATTTGAAGTTATTATAAAATGTTTAACAATATTTAAAAAATAAATATTTGGGCAAATTGATATTTTGATTTGTAAAAAATAAATATGATATTTAGAAATTAAAATTATGATATGTTGATGTAAAAAAAGTATATATAAAATTTTTCCCACTATAAATCATAGTTAGGAAAACAATTAGAGGGTGTTTGGATAGAGAAAAAATAGGTTGCTTATTGCTTAAATTCACCGGAATAAGCAAATTTAAGTGTTTGGATAGAAATCTTTAAAAATCAACTTATTACAGTAGGAATAAGCAAAATAAACTAATTTTAATAAGCAAGGGGAGAATGCTTATTGTTTATTGTTTATTGTTTATTTGTCATTTTATTCATATAAGCTGTTTTATTTTGCCAAACACTTAAATGTTTATTGTTTATTGCTTATTCTCATCGCAATAAGCTAATCCAAACACATTTTAAAAAAAATGTTTATTCTCATCACAATAAGCAAATAAACAATAATCTAATAAGCTAAAAATTATTTATCCAAACACCCCCTTAATATAATCTTTAAAAAAACACAAAAAACCAATCTAATATAGAACATCTTAACCAGCCTTTTTTAAAAAATTAAGAACTCTACAAACCATGTCAAGTTATTCCCTCTCTCAAAAAAAAAAAAGTTTAGATCGTTGAAAATATTGTCTTAGAGATTGATATACGAGATTTTAAATTCCTAAGTTTAAATAATTTGGATTGTAGTACAATCATTATTAAATATACACAAGCCATGTTGCCATGCCTACAAAAAATTATTTGTCATTAAATTTGTTTCATTCAATAACACGTGAATCTTGATCAATGTTGTTTTAAACCAACTAATTATTTGCAACATTAAACTTTGATTTCTCATAGATATTTTTTACTACTAGAGTCTTCGATCCGATCATTATTTTTGAATATCATCTATGAAAAATATGTAAAATATCATATTTTGCCAACATGACTTTCTTGATTTATTTTAAATTTTAATTAATGTTACAAACATAATAATAAACTTTACTCTTATATTTAAGTTGAACTGACATGATGAACTTTTTATATACAAACATAATAATAAACTTTAATTTTATTATCTTTTATATTTCTATTATTATATTGTATTTGGTTAAAAATGCATATCATAAAATTCAAATTTTGTATTTTTTTTTTTACCAAAAGTATATTTAGGATAACGGGCCATAACTTAAAAAAAGAAAAACAAAAATCCCCGTCAACTTTAACGAGCTGGAGCCTCAAAATTCAAACGCCCCCGTAACGGCCATAATTTTTGAAGTCCCTTTTTCTTCATCATCTCACATTCTCACCTCATCTCTCTCTCTCTCTCTCTCTCTCTGTATATTTTAACCTAAAAAAACTCACCATTTCTATGAATTAACTCCATCTACACTGAATCTACCTCACTATTCAACGTTTTGAAGAACTTGACGACAGTCGAATTCAGGTTTCGCATATTTCGTCTACCTCCATTAATTGTTTTGGTCACTGTTTGCATCTTAGTAAATGATTCATTAATTGAGATTTGAATAGGAACGGAAATTTCTATAGATTTTCGTTTACCTTTCTATTTTCATCTACATTTTCTTTAATGTTTTTGGGAATCTTTTTCCAATGCACTGTGCTAGCTATTTTGTTTCCTGGAAAAACATTTCCAGTTTTGATCGAGCACGCACAGTTTTGATTTTTGCATTTTCATTGAATTTTAAAGTTTGTTTTAGACTTAAATCTTTTTTATTGTATAAGTCAAACTATCATCTGTCGTGATCCAACCGGGAGGTTGAACAATCTAGTGTTTTCTGCATACTAGCATTCTTCTTATTCAATTATTTCTGAATATTTGTATGTTCGCTAGTGATTTTTTAGTTAACGATAGATTTATTGGATAAATAGTTTTTGATTTTCAGATTTGAATCTGGTTGACAGCGATTCATAGGCAAAAGTCGTGATTTGAAGAGCGAACTCTAACGTTATGGAGAAGAAAGGAGGAAATACAGTTCCCAGTTCACCATCGCACACCCCGAGGTCCACTGACAAGGCTGTAAGAGATCTCCGACATGTAGAAGGAAATATGAGTGGTAAACATGATAAAGAGAAAGGCGTGAATGTTCAGGTTGTTGTGCGTTGCAGGTGTGTACTTCTTCTCTTCAAGCATGCGTGTAATTGAATTTTGGATGTTACTCCATGAAAATGGCATTCAATCGTTTTGTTTCAAAAATTGCAGACCAATGAATGCTGATGAGGAGAAATTGCACACACCCATGGTTATTACATGTTCAGAAAACAAGAGGGAAGTATGTGCAGTTCAGAATATCGCTAACAAGCAGATTGATAGATCATTTCTGTTTGACAAGGTCTTTGGTCCAAAATCCCAACAAAAGGACTTATATCATTCAGCAGTATCTCCCATAGTTTTTGAAGTTCTTGAGGGATACAACTGCACTATATTTGCTTATGGCCAGACTGGAACTGGAAAAACATACACAATGGAAGGAGGAGGAAGGAAAAAGGTATACTTTTAGACACTAATTAAATGCAGACATTGTGTTTGTAAGTTGTAACCCTTTTTTGCATAATACTAACTGTTTTCTGTTCAGAATGGGGAATTCCCAAGTGATGCAGGTGTTATTCCCAGAGCTGTGAAGCAGATATTTGACATATTAGAAGCCCAAAATGCAGAATACAGTATGAAAGTTACATTCCTAGAGCTATACAACGAAGAGATAACAGATCTTTTGGCTCTTGAAGAGGCTTCAAAATATCCAGAAGACAAATCCAAGAAACCCATAGCACTCATGGAAGATGGAAAAGGTGGTGTTCTTGTTAGAGGCTTGGAAGAAGAGATAGTTTCCACAGCTGATGAAATATACAGAATCTTAGAGAAAGGTTCTGCTAAAAGACGCACTGCTGAAACCCTTATGAATAAGCAAAGTAGTCGTTCTCATTCCATATTTTCTATCACAATTCACATCAAGGAACGTACTCCTGAGGGAGAAGAGATCATTAGATGTGGAAAGCTTAATCTTGTTGATCTTGCTGGATCAGAAAACATCTCAAGATCTGGTGCAAAAGAGGTAATATATAAAATCATAGTTTTCACCATTTTAAATTTCTTTTTCTTTTTCTACATCTTCTATCCATTAAAGGGTGTGATATTTCTTAAGTCCTTGTGATTTTTGATTGTTGCAGGGTAGAGCAAGGGAAGCTGGTGAGATAAACAAAAGCTTGCTTACACTTGGCAGAGTTATAAACACACTAGTTGAAAGATCAGGACATATACCTTACAGGTATCATTTTATTTACTTGAAAAATATATTATTTGAATTTACTAATTTATAAACCCTAATTTGTTGTTAATGACAGGGATAGTAAACTAACAAGATTGTTGAGAGATTCATTGGGGGGAAAAACAAAGACATGCATAATTGCTACTATTTCCCCTTCAATCCATTCTTTGGAAGAGACACTCAGCACATTAGACTATGCCCATCGTGCAAAAAACATCAAGAACAAACCAGAGGTTAGTGTTAAGATCTGTTTGTTTAATTCTTGAAAAGCTTCTCCTTTTTCAGCTTGTGATGACTGGAGTTTCTTTTATTGTTGTTTTAGATCAATCAGAAGATGATGAAATCTGCAATGATGAAGGATTTGTATTCTGAAATTGAACGACTTAAGCAAGGTTTTGTGAAACATTGAAAACACATCTATTCTTCCTTCTTGACTAATCTTTCTCAATAAAGCAGCTCACAATTAACAATGTCATATACTTGAACAGAGGTATATGCTGCGAGAGAGAAAAATGGGATCTTTATACCAAAAGACAGATATCTTCAGGAAGAAGAAGAGAAGAAGGTCTGTTTCCATTTTAGCCTGATATTCAAATCAACATTGAAGTTTTTAATAATATTTAATTTCTTTGATTTTAAATATAAATACAGGCAATGGCTGAAAAAATTGAGCGCATGGAACTTGATTCTGAGTCAAGGGGCAAGGTAATAAATAAACAAAGACAGAGAATTTCCATCATTCTCTTGTTTTTATTAAAAAAAAAAGTTAAAAACACTGGTAATAAATAATGATTTTCTATGTTTGTAAACAGCAAATGATGGAGCTTCAAGAACTTTATAACTCTCAGCAGCTAATAACTGCAAATTTAACTGGAAAGCTTGAAAAGACAGAGGTATAATAATAAATATATAATCATTTTTTAATTTCATTTCCTTCATCTTAAAGATTCTCACACCTCTTTCCTTTACAGATAAAGCTCCAAGAAACTGAACATTCATTGTTTGATCTTGAAGAAAAACATAAACAAGCAAATGCCACAATCAAAGAAAAGGAATTTCTCATCTCCAATCTTCTTAAATCTGGTAAAGAAAGAAATTTCCCATTATAGAAAGAAATAAAATTAAGTTGTTGCAAGTATATAAATGACCTTTTTTTTTTTTTTTTTTTAAACATGACAGAAAAATCACTTCTTGAAAGAGCGTTTGACCTTCGTGGGGAGCTTGAAAATGCTGCATCAGATGTATCTAGTCTATTCACCAAGATTGGTAACAAATCTTGAATTATAAAATAATAAAATAATAAAATAATAAAAATTTTATTATCAGAATTGATATTAATTTATATTTTTTTATAGAACGAAAAGACAAAATTGAAGATGGAAACAGAATTCTTGTTCAACAATTCCAGTCTCAATTAACAAATCAACTAGACACCTTGCATAAGACTATAGCAGCTTCTGTAACACAACAAGAACAACAACTTAAAGGCATGGAAGAAGATATGCAATCTTTTGTTTCCACAAAAACCCAGGTATGTGCAAAAGACGAAAATACCCTCGTGAACATAAGGATATAATAATATATAATCTACTTTTTTTTTTGTAGGCAACTGAAGAGCTTAGAGGTGCACTAGAGAATTTAAAAACAATGTATGGTTGTGGTATTAAAGCTTTGGATGATATAGCTGATGAGCTTGATGGAAACTCAAAGTCAACATTTGGACTTCTAAATTCTCAAGTCTCCAAAAATTCTTCTGCTCTTGGGGAGGTATTTTTATATTTTACAATTTATATTTGATGTCCAAGATTTGAGGTACTTTTTTGATTTTTTTTTTTTTAAAAAAAAAATCTCCAAGATTTTAAAATTTAGCTGTTTATTTGATGTCCAGCTTTTCAAGGGTATTGCATCAGAAGCTGAAAAATTGCTTGATGATCTTGAAAAGATTCTCTACATTCAGGAAAATAAACTGACTGCATATGCACAACAGCAAAGAGAGGTTAGATTTAGATTTTTTTTTAATTTTTATTTTAAAAAAGAAAGAAATATCCAATTAAAATACGTTGCCATTTTTACCCACCCATATATGTATTTATTCAGGCACATTCTAGAGCAGTTGAAACATCAAGATCAATATCCAAAACCACTATGACCTTCTTTGATACTTTAGACATTCACGCAACAAAACTGACAAAAATCGTTGAAGATGGTCAAACGGTCAACGACCAACAACTATTTGACCTCGAAAAGAAATTCGAGGTAATAAAATTCTGTCTTTTACTTATTAAAAAAATACAAATCCCTTGGTTTTCTCAATCGATAATAAATTAATAAACAATACTTTCAGGAATGCGCTGCAAATGAGGAAAAACAACTTCTACAAAAAGTCGCAGAGTTACTTGCAGTTTCAAACGCTAGGAAGAAAGAACTGGTAATTCTTCATTTTATTATTATTTTTTTCAAAAATACATTTAAAAAAATTGTAACTTTTTATTTTTTTTATTATTTTATAGGTTAGAACAGCAGTGGATGGTTTACGAGAGAGCGCAGTTAGTAAAGCTAATAAATTCGAGCAAGAAATGTCAACAATGAAAGATTCAAGCTTTTGCATAAGAAATGAGTGGAAAAATTACAATGAAAAAGCTGAATCCAATTACCTTCAAGACACTAACGCAGTTGAAATTGGAAAAAAAGATCTCGATGAGATTCTTCATAATTGGTATTTCAACTTTATACTGTTTCTTAAAACACTAGAGAACAAGTTGTAACTATTTTCATTAAAAAATTACAGTTTGGAAAAGACGAAAATGGGTTCACAACAATGGAGTAGTGCGCAAGAATCATTGCTTGGTTTAGAGCAGAACAATGTTGCATCTGTGGACGAAATTGTCAGGTAAAAAAAAATTTACCGTTAGAAAATTACTGTTGAAAAAATTACTGTTGGTAAAAAAGTTAAGTTTTTAACTGTTTTCCAGGGGAGGATTGGAAGCCAATCAGATATTACGATCACGATATTCGTCTGCAGTGTCATCTGCTGTTGATGACACAAATGTTGCAAGCAAAAACCTTCTTTCCTCGATTAACCGTGAGTTTTATTTCTTTTTAAAATATATTTTTTAACTAAATTTTTATTTTCTCACAACAAAAACAAAATGTTTTTTTTTTGTTTTAATTTTCAGATTCATTACAACTAGACCATGAAGCACGTGAAAATCTGGATTCCATAATTGTTCCTTGTTGTGGAGAGCTTAGAGAATTGAAAGGTGGACATTACCATAAGATTGTAGAAATTACCGAAAATGCTGGGAAAACACTTTTGAATGATTACACGGTTAGTCTCGTAAATAGAAATTTACCTTTTTTTTTTTTATGAAAAGTTATTAATTAATGTTTATTATTATTATTATTAAAAAGGTTGATGAACCAACATGTTCGACACCAAAAAAGAGGCCATTTAATCTACCGAGTATTACGTCTATTGAAGAGTTAAGAACTCCATCGTTTGAAGAGCTGTTGAAATATTTTTGGGATTCAAAATCTTCTTCTTCTTTGAAGCTACCGAATGGAACTACAAGAGATTCTCGACTTCCGCTTACTGCTATTAATTGAGATATAAATATATAAATATATGTACAGATAGATTTAAATTTAGGATTTGAATCTGGAGTGTACCTTTTTTAATTTTTTATATTCTTTTGTGATCTCGTATTTGTAAGAGTTCATAATTATATGATTGTATTGGTTTCATATTGCTCGATATGAGATTTAATATTTGAAGTGCGATTTGTCGATTTCACCTGTTAGTTTTGAATCTTTTGTTTATTTTGTTTTGAAGATGCCAGCTGTATATTTAGGTATTGTGGCTCTAATTATACTCATTGCTAGCGTGTGTTACGTTCCGCTAGCAATGTCAGGCCGTTCTGGGGTGCCAACTACCCTCTGGTCTATCTCAAACGGCATCGGGGACTATTTCACCCCTACCTTTATCATACAATAACAAAATATAATCATACAGTCAGGCATATCTGGGGTACTGACTTACCCTTCGGTCCTAACGACTAAGTCAGGGAAAAACTATTCCCTGCTACTACCACTAACTCACATAGCATATCACATAAGCATATTTCATAAGCATGTCTCATAGGCATATCACATAAGCATATCTCGTAAGCATAACAAGATAATTATCACAAAGACAATTATCTACTGATTACTCTTATTGGTGGGCCGACATTGTGACCTTAGACCCATCCCTACTGGAAGGTAACTCACCTCGAAGTCGTGTAGCGTTTGCACTGCCCTCGGTGTGAAAGTCGGCTCTCCTCGACTCCTCAATCCCTACACGACAACCCTACTAAGTTATCAATTTGTACCCACAACCCCTTCAAGGTTCAACTTGAATCCAAATCAAAGTCAAACCCTAGTCAAGTCAACTCTTTGGTTGACCGGACTCGTCGAGTTGGTCCGCCAACTAGCCGAGTCCCTTCGTCCACATAATACTACAAACCCGTCCCCACTCATCGAGTCTAGCAAGAGCTCGACGAGTTCACCTTCAACAACACTTCAGTCAATCTTCAACCGACTCGGAGAGTTCTTCCCTGAACTTGTCGAGTTCATCTTCAGCATATGAATGCGTCCAGTCTATGACTCGCCAAGTTGTAAGAATAACTCGTTGAGTCCATCTTCAAAGATTACTAGATTAGGATATTCCCTCAGACTCGCCGAGTGTGTTCTAGCACTCGTCGAGTCCCATGACTTCTAGGTCCAAGGCAACCCCCTAGCAGGATGAGCGTTCCTTCCACTTAACCAAAACCATTTTTAGAAGACGTTTTTGGGGAAAAAGCGTCTCGACTCGCCGAGTCACCTAAGTGACTCATCGAGTCCCTCCTTATTCAAAACTATACAGTCGATTTCAGTGGGACTTAATGCATCCAAATCATAGATCTGACCTCCTAGGGTCCCTTTTATACGTCAAGTCACAAACTTGATGTCCATGCATGGGGTCTTTGGCTCAAAAAGCCATAAAAGATGGTCTACAAGATGCATGGGGTGTTTATGGCAACAAGGTGGGCACCTTTATGCCATAAAGACCCCCAATAACCCCAGATCTGAACCACAAACTGACTTCTAATACTCAATCCCGAATACAACCTCTCTAGGGCTTACAAAAAATGTAGAAAAAGGCCCAAAATCAAGATCTAGACAATGAAAAGACAAAGTTTCAGCTTTATACCTCTAATGAGCTGAAAATATGCTCAAAACTCTGGATCTTCTTTTTCACCTTGATCTCACAAGCCTCCTACTCTTCTTCAAACTTCAATCACACAAAGTAACACCACAAGGCTCAAGAACACACTAAAAACGGCTAGGGTTTTGAGTTAGGGTTTGCTCTGGACGATGGGGGCTGAGTTGAGGGGTTATAATGTGTTTAAATAGGGTGTAAACCCTTAATGTAGGGTTTCACTCAAACAACGTCTACTCGCCGAGTCGGCCCGACTCGTTGAGTAGACTACTTAAACTTCCCGCAGATCACGACTCTACTCGACGAGTTGGGCATCCAACTCGTCGAGTCCCAGAGAAAAACATAATAAATACTTGAATTAAAGGCATACCAGGAATCGGGTGTTACATAAGAAGGGGATGCGGAGGAGCAGTGGCGCTACTGTGGGGTCCGTAAATACGAGGAGCAGGCGGGGAGGGAATCCGGTGGTGTTTGTGATGGTCGGTGTTTGGCGATGTCTTTTGATGGGGAAGAGGCAGAGGAAGCCATCACTCCCGGCGATTGCAGGTACGTGGACGGAGGTATGCTCTGGCAGCCTCCTATTCTTCTTCCTCTGGTCCGGTAATCCAACAACTAGGGGAGAGAATGATGGGTTTTGGTCCTAAGACATCCTGTGTGCTCATACAAACCCTAAAGCTCGGATCTAGGTTTCACTATTGTACATGCTTTGAATCCAAGACTATAAACCCTAATTCTAGCATATGGAAATCGATATTAACATATAATTAGGTTTAAGATGTTACCTTGATTGTTATGTAGCAATAACAATCCCAATTCCACCTTGATTTGACTTTGGAAGGCTTAGAGTTGCAAGTGTCACTCCTCTAATGGTTCACAAACACCATAAGCAAGAGGATGAAGAGGAGAGAGGTTGGAGGCCACCAAAAATGTGTAGAAACCCTAACAAGAAGCTTAGCCACGTTTTTGAGCCTTAAGGGGTCTTTATATAGTTGGGTTATTAGGGTTATCTAACAAGGAAACCCTAAATTAGATGCTTAAGCCTTTAGCAACCCATGGACCCTTCTAATTAAGGCATTGGACGATTTCATATGGGCTTCCCCCATAGAATTCGTCCACCCCTTGATACAAGGCAATCCATGGCCCAAATTGCAATTATCTTATAATTACAATTTCAGTCCCTTAAGTTTAATTAATCCCCTTTTAGTCACAAAACTAATTACCAATTAATTATTGACTAATATTAATTAAACAATATGATTTCTCCTTTAATATATTATTCTCATAATATATTAATAAATCATATTTAATCCTTTCTCTCCATAATTCATCCTATCAAGTTGCTTTGGTGAAGGCAACCCAAAAGGACCATGCACCATCGGGTCAAGTACATACCAAAATAGTTATGGACTTAGACACTAATCCAACAGTATCCCACTTGGATAAGTCTAATAACTATTCTGCGTATGACTTCAAATCCTGATCTGCAATCGTAGCTTTCCAAAGCCTTTGTCAACTCTGATCATATCAGATACGCGTGTCCTTAGATAAGGGATCATATATTCCTCCATTCTAGATACCGTATGAGACATGATTTCTAATCATTCTCTCTGTACTATTTATCGATTTCCGATTTATGACGACTGACTAATTGAACAAATCAAATTAGCCCTAGCCCGGCTGAGCATTTACGTTTGTCATCACTAAATCATCGAGGGGCCCAAAGATATCGCTTTTGTCCTACTTTGGATAAAAGGAACGGATAAAGTTTGATACAATGCTTGCTTGCACTCACTCATCGAATCACACACAACAATATGTTTTATAACACCAAGTTACTAGTGCGTTTTCATATTATCAATGTGCAACCGATTAGCAAGATACAACTCACACATCTCAGTTTCAAGAATATAAGATGTTATCGTCTCACCAATCACTCGTGATACAATTCATGGAGTGATCCAAGTGAGCGTGGGTTTAATCCAATGCTCAAATTCATATTCATAAGCACTCATGAACGTTGCAACAAACAATTGCTTATGTCTAATACTCTTTTAGACAATCCACACACCAATTGACGACAGTCTTCATTCATATCTACTTCCAACATATGAACGACTGTGGCCCGTTCGAATAATTCAATTATTCTTAATAAATTCAATTATTATGGAAGTCAAAACATGCAAGGTGAAACACAAGCATAATACTAATCCCATATGGCCTCAACCCTTTGAGTATAAATAAAACTCCTTTTATTTATCACCATATCGATTACTCATTATTTGTCGTTTCAGATAATCAACTTCTTACTTGAATTTCTACACTTATCCCATGCTCATAACATGCACACAATGTTTACCTATGGTTCTTACTTTGTGAAATAGATCAAATTGGACACATTTCCAATCATTCTCATTTCACAACTCCAAATCCTTTTTCATAAGTGAAAGAATATCAAATTCTTGCTACTTATAGAATATGCTAGATTCTAACATTCTATGCAATGATTCTTCCGTAATATCACTGCACCAAAATCACAAAGACTATTGCCAATCATATTACAAAATCTTCTATTCGGAGATTGTTACAAGACAATTCCTTAGATATGATGTCTCTCATTCAAAGTGCATTCTTTGAAAATCCTTTTGCATAAAAGTTTCTAATCTAGACATAGATTTTCAATATTCAATTCCTAATATGGACACGCTTCCATATTTTCCATTTGACAACTCACTCTAAATAGAATCTTGTCTATTCATAATAATATCGATATGGTCCATTCAATACCATGCTTCCAACTACTCACAAGCAACCAATCCTCATCGAACTTTGGATTATCCTTTGATAGTTGTTTAATTATTTTAGTCAAAACCGATTCTAGTCCCTTTTCCCTCTAAATGCGCTAGAAATTTGGAAAATTTTAGAATGGTCAAATATTAAAGCATTTGCAATCGATCCTATACCTGAAGCATATGGGACACGACGCATAATGTTTTATTCGCTATGTTCTCAAAATTCGAATTGTGAAAAGGAATGTCGTAATCATAATCGAAATTTTAAGAACACACTAAGTACCTTTGACTAAATTTATCAACATTTCTCAACCTAATCCTTTAGATTTGAAATGAAGCATAAAATTCTCTCCCTTAATTATAGCAAAACAACTATTCCATCCTTACAACTTTGCAAAGAATGACTCTTGTTTTCTATAATTAATATTGCCAACTTGCAATACTTTCCTTAATAATCATACAATCATAACATTTATGCTCCCACTATCATGATGATTATTATAAAACATAACACTTATGCTCCCACTAGCTTCGACATGTATTCATAAACATCTTAACTTTCAGAAAACAATACCTATTGAATTTCTTAAGTCCATGTTTCTAATACTTAATGCGTTGATAATCTTTTATCAAGGCTTCTCGAACTTATACACCTTTGCCTTAGATAGTTCATATGTGTGAATAAACACTTAAGACTAATTGCCAAACCTCACAATTCAAAATATGGAAAGGGATATCGTAACCATAATTGAATTCGAGAATGCAACTTTACAATCACTATCTTCTTAAAATCTTTCTTAGTGAAAGCATTTCCTCACAATCATTTTCATGAAGGAGGAAATTCTATGACACTTAGATTTAAACGGTGTATGTGTTCCTATCCATGTGAATTTGTTAAAACCAAAGTTTACGACATATTCAAACTCATATGGACCGAACTTTGTTAATCTTGATTTCTTGCCTTATGGTAGCACAGCTGCCCACCACGTCTTCCAAGTAGTTAAGCATCTCACCTTTTCTTATCAATGTACTTTTCATTGATCAAGGTCGTTGCCTTTTATGTATTCAAATGAGAACTCATAGAACTCACATGCATAATTAACTCGATTGGATTGGCACAAAATCAAAATATTGTTAACACGATAGGTTGTAAACCTCAACTCGTGTGCTAGTGATGATCGATAAGGTTTATTTGATTTGTTCTTGAAACCTTTCAAGACCATTAAGACTCCCACTGACTCCTTGACATATAAGATTCTCTTGTCAATAACCATTTCTTGACAAAACAAATATTCAAGAGTTAGTGTAGCTTTTATCAGAACACTTCATAAATTGGTCCTAGTTGGCCTTTGTCTTATCCAAGATATCACAACTTTCCACATTTGATGAATTTTATAAACCTTCTTAATACTTGTCACTCATTGTCACAATCTTAACTTTAAGACTTGTTATTGGAACGAATTATGATTGACCTTTTGATTTAACCATTTCTTCAATTCTTGATTCCTCTTCTTAAACATACAGTTGTACTAAGACTCACTTAGAGGATCAATTGAGATATGGTTCTTAATCATTAAGACCTATCATAAAGCATAAAAGGTACTCTCCCTTCTTCTTAGAATGGAGAAACTTTTATCTTTCTGCCTACTTGATTCTTATTCGTTTTGCTATTGATTTAAACCTTTTAATCAATTCCGAATTATACTTAATCTTATAAGTATAATCATATTTACTAAACCTTTAGTAAATCGTGACGAATATCTTTGTTTCTCTTATGGTGGACTTGATCAACACACAACTTTGTGTGTTCGATCTCCTAGTCCTTTCACTTGACACTTTGTCAACGAATTAGTCTAATTTCCAAATATGAAATTTCTCATTCATCATGCAACCAAGTTGCGTGATTCCAAATTTCTGTCCAATTGAAATTTGGGCGATGAAAAACTCTCCCTATTTGGCAAATTCTCGATATTTCCATAAATAACATAACTAAGAATCATATCCATTCATTGTAGAAATATGCAAACATCAATTTTCATAACGATTTCATTGCAAGGAAGTAAACAAATAAATAAATAAGTCAAACAAAATTTATTTTATTTATAAAAGCAGCGGAAAAACATTTGTCCTTACAATGCAAAATCTCGATTCTTGACTAATTGAAGGAAGAGGAAGTTAACGAAAGCATCCATGGCCAACATGTGATCTTCTTCTTCATCTTATTTTGATATGAATCCATGGAAAGTTGGATGTTTAGTTTTTCCTAAAAAAAAGTTATGATAATCGATGGGATATAACTCATGGTTGTGTGGGTTTCGGTATTTGACAGGGGAATCCTTGTGTGTTTTTTTTCTTGAATTTATGACTGGGAATGAATGTAGATATGTGTTGATGATTCAATCCCAGGTCTTGAATTATGTAATGTACTCTCTTAGAATTTAGTTATATAAATATATTATGTTAGAATGTATGAGAATAATTGTTAGCAACATGTATATTTGTTTAACTGGTAATGAATTTGTGATACTTTGTGGCTGACTTTATAGTCTCTACTACATTCTATCAGAATTTACTGCTTTTATTTTCTACTATATTTTGTCAAACTTTATATTGTTTAATACATTTTGTCAGAATTTATAGTTTTTATTCTCTTAGAATGCATTGAATTTTTTAATTTTTGAAACTTGATTATGTTTTCTTTGTGGATTTAGGTTTTGAAGAGACTAACATTGACGTGGAGAAGGAAGAAAACATAGAGAACGAGAGTGTATTATACCAGAATGTGTTATGATACAATGTATAAAGTGTTGCTTAAAAATAATATTATTTCAAAATAGATTAGTGTTTTGTTAGATTTTGATGTTTTTTTCTTTTTTCTTTCAGAATATTGTTATTATTCAATGAATAACAATCATACAATGTAATTATTTGTTATATTATTAGTTCAAGATTTGATTTTGTGTATTCTTTCAGAATGTATTTACTACTTTATGGTTGGCATTCTGTCATTCTGACAGAATAAAATCGAAAAATATATTTACTAGTTTATGGTTGGCATTCTATCATTCTGACAGAATAAATCGGATTTTTAAATTTGAATTAATTTAAATATTCAGGTTTTTAAAAATAAAGGAATTAATTATCCCTAAAAATCTGAAAATTTTCTTTTTTAATATAGGTTAATTGACTAAAATGTCCTTATACTGAAATTTGTGTGATTATATGGTAAACGTTATCCTATTCTAATATTATAGACCCTCAGATCATGACCTTTGATTATATTCTATCTGATGGTCCTGATCTATGCATTCTGGCACACAATAGTTACTATAAACAAAATAACCTAATCCTTCAGAGTTAATTTTAGGTAACAAAAACAAACAGTAGGGACCTTCAAAGTTAAATAGATAAGTCAATGACCAAGCACGCAAATTACCCTAAACCATAGGACCATTCGTGTAATTTACTCTATCTCTCTCTCTCTCTCTCTCTCTCTCTCTATATATATATATATATATATATATATATATATATATATATATATATTTGTTGAAAACATTTGAACCTAACTCTATATAAGGTTAGGTTATTTTGTTTTTACTAACTATTGTGTGCCAGAATGCACAGATCTGGACCATCGGATAGAATATAATCAAAGGTCATGATTTGAGGGTCTATGATAGTAGAATAGGATAGCATGTACCATATAATTACACAAATTTCAGCATAAGGGCATTTTAGTCAATTAACCTGTATTAAAAAAGGAAATTTTCGGATTTTTAGGGATAGTTAATTCCTTTCTTTTTAAAAAATATGAATATTTTAAATTAATTCAAATTTAAAAATCCGATTTATTCTGTCAGAATGATAGAATGCCAACCATAAACTAGTAAATATATTTTTCGATTTTATTCTGTCAGAATGACAGAATGCCAACCATAAAGTAGTAAATACATTCTGAAAGAATACACAAAATCAAATCTTGAACTAATAATATAACAAATAATTACATTGTATTATTGTGATTCATTGAATAATAACAACATTCTGAAAGAAATGATTTTTAAGCAACACTTTATACATTGTAGCATAACACATTCTGGTATAATACACTCTCATTCTATATGTTTTCTTCCTTCTCCACTTCAATGTTAGCCTCTTCAAAACCTAAATCCACAAAGAAAACATAATCAAGTTTCAAAAATTAAACAATTCAATGCATTCTAACAGAATAAAAACTATAAATTATGACACAGTGTATTAAAAACTATAAAGTTTGATAGAATATAGTAGAAAAATAAAAACTATAAATTATGATAGAATGTAGTAGAGACTATAAAGTCAACCATAAAGTATCCCAAATTCATTACCAGTTAAACAAATATACTTGTTGTGAGTTGACATTTTGTGTATGTTTGACCTCTAAGCCACTTCAAAATATGTTAGCATTCTATGAGATTGACATTTTGTGCGATTGACATTCTGTCATAATTGTATTGCATGAGAATGATTTTATACAAGGAGTTGCAAAAAGGAGATAAACATGAGCATGATTTTATACAACATGCATTAGAATAAGTAGAATAATTTGAAGTGAACATTTTGTCAAACCAACATATTAGATTTCATTCTAACAAAATTGGAATTCTTGATTCCATTATGGCAAAATTACCCTCATCATATTAGATACTAAGATGATTTTGCTACTGCTACTAATTGAAGATTATTCTTTTGGTGCTTGATATTAATGAGGAAGATAATAAATAAAATTTTCACCAATGTCTTTTTCAGATATCAAATTCTACAAGATAGAATACAAACATGATAAAGTAATTGTTTATAGGTTATCTGAAACTATTCTAAAATTCTATGTGCCTGAAGTCGGATGACTTCACCATCTTATTTTTTGATGTACTAGTAAAATTCAGGTTGAGCAAGTGAGTCATTGGCTAAAGACTTCACCATCTTTATATGATGGATCTCAAAAAATCAAGAATATAGTATCAAATGGGTAAATAAAATTAGGAAAAATCAAACACTTACATATAGTGTTAGAACAACTTCCATGAAAAAACCCCTCAATGCAGCTCTAATGGGTTCATCGGTGGTTGAACAAATCACAAGGAAGGGAGATCTAATCTCCGGCAGGCTTCCCTTGGTTCACTATCTCCGTCTCCGTCAGCCACCAATCGTGGAAAGGAATGGAACGGAGGCAGGCGTGTTGCCGTCAAGTGGCAGCGACGAATGCTCCTTCTATCCGACAACAATCACGCGGGGAGGGAAAGACTTCGATCCTCAGTTGATCGGAGAAGAAAGAAACACACAAACATTCAGAAAATGGCCATTGACTCTTAATCGATCGCAAGGAAGGGCTGCAATCGGCGGTGGGAAGTCGCTGAATTTCTTCTCTGTAGTGGTGCATTTAGGCACACAATATTTGTTGATAACATTTGAACCTAACTCTCTCTTTCTCTCTCTCTCTCTCTCTCTCTATATATATATATATATATATATATATATATATATATATATATATATATATATATATATATATATGAGGTAGCTTCAAATGTTTCTCACATCTATTGTGTTATAGTCTAACGCCCCATTTATTTAAATAAATTAGTAAATGTGAGTCTCGGTCTAATTTGTGAAGAATTTTAGAAGTCGGGGGTTAAAAGAGTAAGTTCGGGATTAAATTGAAAAGATTTGAAGGCTGAAGGGTTTATTGGTAATGCAGGGATCTATTATGAAAGAAATTTATGGGATCAGGGCTTAAAATGTAAGTTGTGGATTCAGTTTGTAAAGATTTCGGAAGGCAAGGTTAAAAGTGTAACATATGAACTTATTTTGAAAGAAAATAAGGAAGGACGGATCGATTATGTTAATATGGGAAATGTTTTGAGAGGCATCGGGTATATATTTGTCTTAAGCAACCCTAAACCTAAAGATGTGATGTCGGCTGTCACCCCCACTCCCCTTCATCCTCCAGCCGCCAACCTTATGACTCCCACCGGTGCCGCCATAATTCCTCCACTACCGCCGCTAAGGCCTCAAACCTCCGAGGCCGACCACCTTGCTTCCTCCTACTGTCGGTACATCCATTGGCGACCAAGTCGGAGCCATGAATGTCAATGAGAGGGTTGTAGATCTCCTCAGTCGTCGCCCAGCTGAGTTCATCCGTCGTTGCGCCGCCAAGCTAGCTGCCATCCGTGAAGACTGTTGTCGTTCGCTGTTCCGACCAAGCAGGGCGCCTGTTACCTCGCCAATGAGCACCGCCGACCGCCACACTGTTGAGGAAGGTTGCCATTGTGATGTTGCTGCCGGAGAATCGTCGTTTCTGGGTTCCTACCATCGTTTGCCACCCATGGTGCTTGAGTTGGGAAAGTTTCAGTCTCCGGATCGTGGTTGTGTGTGGTTGCTATTTGTTTGCTCGGATGAGGGACAAGAAAGACCACCGCCACCACCATTGGGTGGTGGCTAGCATCACAACTGCCGCTGCTGTTGTTTTTTTTAGTGTTGTTTTTTTTAGTGTTGTTGCAGCTTAGCCATTGGCAAGCGAGCTAGTGAGCGTGACAGCGTGTGAGACCCTGAAGGATATGATTTCCAAGAGTTGCAGATGCGAGGCCGATTTGGAGCACCCTGGAAGGAGAGGGTTATGCCAGGTGTGTATTATAGAGGGTCCCGGGAAGAGACCCATGACTTCTGATCATCAGGTGAAAGGCCAGTAGGGTCGGAGATGGTGCAACGGGTACGAGAAAGTGCATGAGGGAGTTTGTCACTCCAAGGATTTAGGCTGCTACAGGGTAGCGGGGTTGGTCATGTCAGTAGAAGGGGATCAGTATTCCTCCAGATGTTGCGGGTATTGCTATTAGGTGGATGTTTGGAACACATCGCTTTGGAATTGTGAGTGAGTTTGGATAAGTCAGATCTCGGGTTGGTTTTCTGCTAAGTGTTTGGGTTACCAAGGATCATATATGCCATCCTGCATGCCGAAAGGTCCTTGATGAACCCAAAGGGGGACGCATCTTGCGGAGTGGGTTCCGCGCACATCGTTATCATTTCGGATCTTTGTCAGGATTTATGCAGGAGTATTATTTTAAGGATACTCGATCAGGGTTGGAGTGATTATTCTCCAATGAAGTTAGCGTTCAGAGGTTCTATCATTGTTTAGGTATGGTCGGTAATTGTTTATGGAAGAACTTTGGAGTTCAAGGCACTACCGTTGCTAGGACAGAACTTGTGACAAGAAGAGGGTAGTGTCAGTCGCGGGTGTTAGATGCATAAGTGGTTGGTCACTGGATTTTCAAGAGAATTGTGTTTTCGCATGGGCTGTGTTCGGTTAGAGTTCAGTGGTACTGCAAGTTTGGCAGTGGGAACGAGGATTCGTGAGGTAGAGTGAAGATTAAGGTCTTCAATTGATAGCATGTTAAATGGAGTGAGGTGTCAGACTGGATCAGATTTTAAGAGTACTCATCGAGACTTCTGAGGATGTGAGATCTCAAGGTTTAATCGGTGATTAAACGCTAGCATTGGCAGGCACAGGTTGCCATCAGTGGGATATTAGAAAGCGAGAAGGATTGGAAATCCTTCCATTCTCATGTAATGTGAAGACTTAGTCGAATCTAAGTGGGTGAGAGACTTTTTATAAAGTTCCCCAAATGTGAGTTCTGGTTGCGCAGGGTGCAAGCTCTTGGGCACCTTGTGAACCAAAATGGTATTCTAGTTGATCCGACCGAGATAGAGGCCGTGATGCAGTGGGAGATTCCGAGGTCTCCATCTGAGATTCGGAGTTTCCTGGGTCTAGCAGGTTACTGCCGGAGATTTTCAGGGGGCTTCTCAGAGATTGTGGTTCCTTTGACTCGACTAACCAAGAAGTCGGTGGCCTTTCGTTGTGGGCCTGAGCAGAAGGCAGCCTTAGAGACTCTCAGATAGCGGTTGTGTGAGGCACTTATTCTCACCATGCAAGAGGGCGTAGATGATTTCGTGGTTTACTGTGACGCTTTGATCACAGGCATGGGTACAGTACTGATACAGTGGGGTCACATGATAGCAAGTTTCGGGAATCAGGTTAGAGTTCTGGTTAGGACTCAAGTGTAGTGGTGTGTTAGGTCGAGTGCGTGTTCGACCCGGTTTGGAAGAGTGTTGTAAGTCTACGGGGGTAACCGTAGCATTCACTAGTAGCCAGATAGTACTAGAGTGATGTGAGTATGTGGGTGTAGCCGCAGCCTTCACTAGGTTGGTAGATAGCGTGAGTGCGTTGTTAGGACGCGGAAAGATCAGTAGTACCCACCAGTTCGGGTATAGTAGTGAGGAAATGGAAATCCACGGATTGGATTTCGGAATTTCCCAGACGGATGAGACCTGGTTAAGCCAGTGATAAGATTGTAGAAGCGCCGCTATAGAGATGAGAGCAAGGAAGCAGTGGACTGCTTAAGTTCATTTATGACATAAGGCTACAATTAGTGATGTAGCAATCGCGTTTAGCCTTGGGTTTGGTGATGTTAGGATTCGACGCAGTGAACCAATCAGTTAGAGCAGAAGGCCGTTAGGGCCACAATGACGAGATAACTACTAGCAGCTAGATTCATAGAAGGATTTCGTTCAGAAGTCGTTCGAGACGGCTAAGTATGGAGTCCTTTGGCTCTGCAGTTGGGCTGGAACCTGATAGTTCAGATGATTGGCGGAAAATTGAGACCAGGTAGGTCTCGGTAGATGTCAGGAAGCAGCCATGTGGTAACATATAGTTTCAGGCAATTTAGTGGTTCAGGTAGTTCAGTGTTCATACAGTTCAGTGTTTCAGGCAGTTACAACTCTTGGGCAATGTTAGTAATTGTGCCCTAAGTTGCAAGTACAGACAGGATAGCTGGTTTATTGGGAAGCGACAAGTCACTCACAACGGAAATAGCTAAGCATTGGCCAAGTATAAGTGATCTACATGAATAATTAGGTTTGTGAACCTGTTTTGTAGTGGGAATTTTCGAGCTAGCAGAAGTTGAGTAGTTAGTAGAGAGATAAGCAGGCTGGTTTCATCGATAATAATTTGGTATGAGTGGTCTGTCAGGGAATCAGACCATCGTAAGGCAACAAATATCAAACGGAATAGATGTGATCTTGTCGCGAGGGTTGGTTACAGTTACCCTAGAAAGGCTAAGGTGTGCCCAGGATGGTGACCAGGTTGCTAGAGTGGTTTGAAGTGAAGGGAATGGTAAGGAATGGTTTCGAGGATGAAATCTAATTTAAGTGGGGGAGAGTTGTAACGCCCCATTTATTTAAATAAATTAGTAAATGTGAGTCTCGGTCTAATTTGTGAAGAATTTTAGAAGTCGGGGGTTAAAAGAGTAAGTTCGGGATTAAATTGAAAAGATTTGAAGGCTGAAGGGTTTATTGGTAATGCAGGGATCTATTATGAAAGAAATTTATGGGATCAGGGCTTAAAATGTAAGTTGTGGATTCAGTTTGTAAAGATTTCGGAAGGCAAGGTTAAAAGTGTAACATATGAACTTATTTTGAAAGAAAATAAGGAAGGAGGGATCGATTATGTTAATATGGGAAATGTTTTGAGAGGCATCGGGTATATATTTGTCTAAAGCAACCCTAAACCTAAAGATGTGATGTCGGCTGTCACCCTCACTCCCCTTCATCCTCCAGCCGCCAACCTTATGACTCCCACCGGTGCCGCCATAATTCATCCACTACCGCCGCTAAGGCCTCAAACCTCCGAGGCCGACCACCTTGCTTCCTCCTACTGTCGGGACATCAATTAGCGACCAAGTCGGATCCATGAATGTCAATGAGAGGGTTGTAGATCTCCTCAGTCGTCGCCCAACAGAGTTCATCCGTCGTTGCGCCGCCAAGCCAGCCGCCATGCGTGAAGACTGTTGTCGTTCGCTGTTCCGACCAAGCAGGGCGCCTGTTGCCTCGCCAATGAGCACCGCCGACCGCCACACTGTCGAGGAAGGTCGCCATTGCGATGTTGCTGCCGGAGAATCGCCGTTTCTGGGTTCCGACCATCGTTTGCCACCCATGGTGGCTGAGTTGGGAAAGTTTCAGTCTCCGGATCGTGGTTGCGTGTAGTTGCTATTCGTTTGCTTGGATGAGGGACAAGAAAGACCACCGCCACCACCATTGGGTGGTGGCTAGCATCACAACTGTCGCTGCTGTTGTTTTTTTTAGTGTTGTTGTCGCCACCGTGAGCCACCAAGGGAGGGTGGTTGGACCTTTGTGCAAATAGAATCTTGTAGGTGAGTGTGTTTTGTTGTGGAAGGTGTTAATGGCCGGAAAACGGAATAGATGCCCACCATGGCCACCAACCATGGTGGCTGCCGCCTTGTACCACTGGCCATCGCCGACCACCACTAGGGTGGTTGTGTGTGTGTGTTAGTTAGTTAGTGTGTGTATAAAGCATTGTAATTGTAATTTCCAAAAGATTAATGAAAAGATATGGAAAACCACCACCTTAGGGTGGTGGCCGCCGCCGTGTGCCGCCATTTACCACCACTACCCGAGGTGGTAGTGGGTGGTGCCCCACAAGCAAAGCCCTAATGGGCTTAGAGGTTTATTTTGGGCCTATTGGGCCACGTTTGGGTGAGGAACCCTAATTAGGGTTTAGAAAACCCTAATTATGAGTATTGGGCCTTAGACCTATTGGACCCACTTTTGGGCCATTGGGATTGGATTGTGAATTAAGCCCAAATTATTCCATGTCATTTATCTAGTAGAATAAATAACTTAATGGACTAAGTCCTTAATGGGCTAATTGAGAAAATGCTAATATTTGAGAAATTACCAGGACACACTCGAGAATTATTTAATAAGTGAAATATTAAATAATAATTATTGGCAGAAATTAATCTAAGCAGTAATAGACTTAATGAATTAAGTCCTTAATGGGTTAAGCCCTTAATGGGTTAAGTGAGAAACACTTAACCCTAATTGTCATTTCATGTGAAACTCTAATTTCACTTGGGCTTTGTGTTGGGCCATCTAAGAATAATCAATTGGACTAGAGTAATTAGTTGGGCTTTAGGGTAAGGCCCATATGAAGGATTGGGTCCAATTTGGAAAATTGGGCCATAGATGGGGCCTAGATGGTTGTATGATATTGGGCCCTAGAATGATACATGTTAGACTGGACTGATCAATTGGGCCTTAAGGGGAAGTCCATGTAGAGGTTTGGGCCCAATTTGGAAAATTGGGCCATATGTTAGGCTTGGATTTCCTAGTGGACTTTGGGCCTAAGGATTGGGCCTTGGGCTTGCATTAAGTCAACCTTGGGGTAATGGAGTAATTATCCAAGTGTGTATCTATGATTATGTGTTGGGACCCAATTATTAATTGGGTGTTATTTTTTGTGTTGACAGTTCGAGAATCTGTTATCTAGTAGGTAGGGTGAAGTCTGCGGGACTTCAGCAATGTGGGGTTATGTCTACGGGACTTCAGCAGTATGAGGTGAGTTACCTTCCAGTAGCGGTGGGTCTAAGG